AACAATAGATTGCACAGCATACGTCAACAAATTTCTTCTCTTGTCGGATTTGCATCCCATATATGCTACGTAAAGATGCTGTGGTTGGAAAAAGTTCTCTTAGTTAGGAGACCCAATTATGTCCATAATTTTCTGTGAATAAAGGTGAGTTTATTTACTTCTTTAAGTTAACATTTAGACCACGCTTGTATATACCGGAGATTCTATATCTATATTAAAGATATATGACCCCGCACCCATGCTATCTCTTAGTTTTACTCCTTATTGTTATTCTTGCCCTGTAGTTCCATGCCATTTTTATGATGCTATTTTTAAACATGACATAACAAACCCTAGAAGGGGCAACACATCCATATTCAGACAATGAGCTATTTTTTCCTCAATTTCCTTTCGCAAGTCGAGTTATAAAAATGGCCTCCAAGAAATGTTCATTCAAAGCAAAACATTCCAGAAGACTGGATTAAAAACATTTTCCCACGATCCCAGCCAATCAGCAAATTGTATCATGTACAATAATATCATGGGCTTATTTGGACCATTCAGAATCACATAAAGTGATATGCTCACATGTTATAATATAAAAATATGAAACTGCAAGCACTTTAGGAAAAATATACCGACTATGCAATAAAAATATCTGTTATCTGTCTACACGGTTTTCCAAATATTTCAGTGGATTCTCATTTAAACGTCTACTATTTGCACAATGTATTATACTTGTATCAAATTTTATATTTGTTTATGGGCTCATGAAATGTTGATTGGTTACGATTTTGTTTTAAACCTAATAATTTGCAGTCATGTAGGATGGGGAACCTAATATCTGTCCTCTAGATTTGGTGAGTGGACAGAGAAAACAATAACATCGATTGAAGAATACAGCAAACATGCATTTGCTTTCTTCAAAACATTTCCTTGAATTTAATAGTTAATATCTTTAAAATATATTTACAAAAAAAATTCGTATAACATCATAATAGCTTACATATTCTAAAGACACTTACGTGCACATTCAATAAAATATATGTGCCTCTCCTCTTTGTTTTCTGCACATTTATTTTTTACCTCCTTCTAAAGCACCATTACTAGCTATGTTCTAATATATACTATGCTACACAAGTCGATTAAGGCTGCAGAATACCAATAAATTAGCAGCAAGGTCTCATAACTTATTTCTAAGCACTACGTAAAACGATACTATTACTCAGAGCGATACATTTATTACATCTCAGTCCGTATAACAAGACGGTCAGCTGACGCCTGCAAGATTTTTAAATTTTCAGTTTAACATGTATAATCATGTGATTGTATCACTGCACTTTGTACTAGATAATCGGTATGAACATACCAGGAAAATTTGTTATAACGTTATACATTTAAGATTTTGCAATATCACTAGACAAAATGCCATATACATATGGACGATATACTTTTAATTTGCAACTTGCACGGAAAACTTTTAAATATAAATATCACTTTCTCAAAACCTTCTGACTACCGAAAGCAGCAAGAAGACTTTTGCTGAATATCTGTCATTTACGTGGTTTATACTGAGGTCCAGTAAAATTTGTAAATTCCAGAAATCTATGTTTAAATCATCATGTACTTCACTACCGATTGTCTGTTAGTTCTTGATAGCATTTCTTATAAACAAGTGATCATGATATGGTATAATAAAAAAATCAACATTAGTCTAAAATAATTTTTGAACTACATTTTAAGTAAAACTCGATTGTGTATTTACAAAAGAAGAAACATCAAAACAATATTTGAGAAAAATTAACATAGATGGACTCCTTCAATAGTTGATTAGAAAAGACACATTATGTGTATATTAAGATTACTAAAACAAATATCAGGCTCTGTTCTGAAAATAATATGAAAACGATTATCCGTTGATAAAAATATATGAAGAGAAATTGTTTAGAACCTTGTCGAATTAACGTTTTGTAATATTACGCCACAAAATACTATGTAATTATTTAATGTAAATTTTTGACTTTCTATTGAAGACTTTTAAATAAACAAAGCGTGTATGGTTGTTAATCAATAGGTTCGAGCCAACCCAGTGACGATGGGTATCATTTTGCACCTTATAATTCGTCTCAATATTGTTTGACCAGCATATTCGTGGACAAGGAGCAAAGATAAAGAAGGACACATATCTGATGAAGCTATTTTCATTGCGTTGATGTAGTATGAATGAATAAACAAACATAAAGCAATATATTCTTAAATCAGCTATGAATAAAAACAATTTTGAAGATATCTTAAATAATTCGTTCCTACTTTGGTAGGTAGAGAAAAAAGATAATCAAACTGTGCTTTAAATTAAATTATAAGTGTGTTCTGTTTATTATTGAGAATCGATTTATGCATATAAATGAACTGCGATGATTAAACATCACTTCAAAAAACAAAAAAATTATGTATGAACTTTATGATTCTTTGACGAAATTCAAAATTAGTTCCGACATGCATGGATCCCCATCACATCCAAATACATTACAGTTCGATGTTTAAATGATGACAACGTCCTTTAGAACCCGTTGAACTCTTCTTCTAGACAAAACGTTTTATTTAATTATCTGTATTATTTGACTACACGGTTTTCTAATCATTCCTATATATCTGGATTGTCATTTCAGCGTCTACTATTTGTAAAATACATGACAGTTTCATGGAGATCTATATTGTTACACTTGCTGATTAAATTGCCATTTCAGCGTCTACTATTTGTACAATACATGACAGTTTCATGGAGGTCTATATTGTTACACTTACTGATTACATTGCCATTTCAACGCCTACTATTTGCACAATACATGACAGTTTCATGGAGGTCTATATTGTTACACTTGCTGATTAAATTGCCATTTCAGCGTCTACTATTTGTACAATACATGACAGTTTCATGGAGGTCTATATTGTTACACTTGCTGATTAAATTGCCATTTCAGCGTCTACTATTTGTACAATACATGACAGTTTCATGGAGGTCTATATTGTTACACTTGCTGATTAAATTGCCATTTCAGCGTCTACCATTTGTACAATACATGACAGTTTCATGGAGGTCTATATTATTACACTTGCTGATTAAATGTTGCTTGGTTATGAGCTCGTTTTAAATCTGTCAGTTTACAATGACTTAGGAAACGGAACCTAAAATCCGTCTTCTAGATTTCAGGAGTTTACAGTGAGAGCCGTAACATCAATACGGAAGCAAAGGGCAAACATGCATTTATGTCTTTACACACATTTGATTAAACTTATTTGTTAATGGATATAAATTAGAAAGAAAACAATTCATGTTGAATTGTAAATTTGATTGTCTAAAGTCATTGACTTGTCAATTTGCTAAAATAAGATAAGAATTCTTTATTTCAGACTGCATAGTTAATACATTTAAATTAAAATACGGATATAGAGTAAAACATTATAAACATGAAAGAACACACACACACACACACATATATATATATATATATATATATATATATATATATATATATATATATATATATATATATATATATATATATATATATATATATATCATATGTACAAGTAAAATTTTAAGTACCTCGGCTTTTTTTCTGTGAAATTTTGTAAACTCCTTCCAAAGTACAATCACTCGCTAGGTCATACTAGATATGATGACGTAGCCTCGACGAGTCGATCATGACTGAAGGGTTTTAATATAATCGTTTTGTGGTTCTTTTAGTTAATTCAAAACACTGTCCAAAATGATTGATATCGCTCGAACACACATTACATCTGAGACCACGTAACCAGACGGTCAGTTGACATCGCCAGGGTGTTTAAAGTTTCACTTTGACAGGTAGAATAATGGCTACCTGTCTCGCGATTGTATCGCTGCGCTTTGTCCTGATAATCCATTGATACAAATAGACCGGGAGAAATTCGTTTTTACGTTGTAGACGTAAGATTTTCCAATATTACTACACAAAATACCACATACATATAGATGTGCTTGTAATTTGTAACTTGTACTGGCAATGTTCCAATATAAATATTACTTTCTCATTGACGTCAGACTATCTCCAAGCAAAAATGTCTTTTCTACTTACTCTAGTCAGACTATCGTATGGACAGATATAATATCATACAGCCTTACATTCCAAGATAATCATGACGCAATTTAAGCCACCAGAACGATACCCTCAGAACAATATACAAGACGTATACATAAGAACTAAAAAATATTAGATAAATATAACCAATGTAGAGATAAATCCAAATTCATTTGGTTTTTAGCGAAATCTTTGTCTCTGACGCTAGACCTGTCCAACCCAATGTCCCTTTCTCATAGTTGCATTTATAAATGTTCAACGATAGCTCAATATTACCTGTCGAAATTGGTTATATCGAGCATAGAACCCAACAATTACTGACTAAACTATGATTAGTTTCATGTCTATGCGGCGCAATGGGTAAGCGCCTTCGGCTGTTAACCGAAAGGTTGGTGGTTCGAGCCCACCCAGGGACGATTACTAGCATTATGCACCTCATTTCTGTATTTTTTCATTGCTTGTCGTGAATCGAAAGCAAGAATAGAAAATTTATATAAAACAATTTTCTTGCATCATCGCTGAACTACAAATGTTACTTTTACATCACCTTCAGACTACCGCCAAGCAACGAGAAGACGTTTGTTCTTAATGCAAAGTGAACTAATAAATAGAAAGTCGGTTCAGAGGCGTGTGAGGACATATAGCCCACACGGCAAGAACTTTAATTGCGCTCATATCAAAGTCGCGCCAACAGTAAACACCACCACAAGTATTAAAATTGCGCACCTATCAAAGCTTTAAAAGTATTTTAAAAAACTGTTCTACTCACATTTCTCCCCTCCCCATTCAAATGGCGTCCACGGCACGTGCGGTGTCTTGCCACACCCTCGCTACACCTCTGTTTATGTTCAGATATAATATTCAACGCCATTAACATCCAATACCATCATCGCGTAATTTTAGGTCTGTGGCGTAACCGGTTAGTGTATTCGGCTGTTAACCGAAAGGTTCAAACCCACCAGAGACGATGGGTATTATTTTGCAAATCATAAGTTGTCCCTGTAATATTTGTCCACTAATTTGTTTACAAACAGCAAGTACAAAGAGGTAACATACCGTAATGACGATTTTTATTCTTGCATTAATGTATGACACTTTAATATTATAAAGACATTATTTTCTTAAATAAACTCAGAATGGGATTGTTCTTAAGAGTGTATTGAGTTTCATATTGTAAATCATTTATTCGATGAAATTAGGTACGACAATTTAACAATTTCATATACAAAGTATGTTAAATATGAAAGTGGTGATTTTTTGAAGAAAATCATAATTAGTTCCAGCATGCATGGATCCCCATGACATCCAATGCATTACAGTATGATGTTTAAATTACAACTTTAATTACAACTTGCTTTATAAACATTTGAACGTTTCTTCTAGAGTAGATGTTTTATTTAAATACAAGGGCAGTAGAAGAAATATATAGGTGAAGTGAATGGGTTGTCTATGGTGCTCCAACGACTTATTGGGTTATTGATGATGGTCACGGTGATGATGGTGATGGTCTAACTACCACATAACTAGATGGTCAGCCGACGTCTTCAACATTTTTAAAGTTTCACTTTGTCATGTAGAATCATGTATACTTTGTGCGTAACTTCCAACACCTAACAATTATAATTTTTATCCTTGATTTATTCTTTTTTCTAAGAAGGGCATGTATAGATACTTTCCACTTCGATAATTATTCAGATTTTCATAAAGAGTACAAAATCTTATAACATTAATATTGAGCGAGAGGTTATAATAGTACCTAATGACTACTGTGATTGAATCTGTGAAATAACTTGAAAAAGTGCAGGTTTATTTTCATTTAATTGGAAAAATGTCGGTGATCGTACCAAGAAAATCACAAGGTTACAATATTTGTCTCCCGGCGATGCTTTGCCTTGGGGGGAAGGAGAGGAATGATTTAACCCATCTACTTGTACTAAAATCTTCTACTTCCTCTGCTTTCGACTTGTGTTTTCCATTTTGCTCTTGCTTTTGAATGATAAAGGTTTGTTCTGCTTCTTTAAAACTTATCAAATTCTTCTTTTTGCATTTTGTCAATAGTACAAGTCCCCTGAGTCATGTATGAGAATTTTTTCATTTTAAACTAAATATAAAGTGTTATATATATATATATATATATATATATATATATATATATATATATATATATATATATATATATATATATATATATATATATATATATATATATATATATATATATATATATATATATATATTACATAGTCGCTATTGTTTTCCTACAGTGCGTGCAGGTTCATATTTTTGATATTATACGTGTGAAAATATCACTTTATGTGATTCTGATTGGTTCAGATGAGATCATGAAATTATTGTGCATTAGTGTCTTTAATGATTTGCTGCGACCGTGGGAAAATGTTTTTAACCCCGCCTTCTGGAATATTTTGATCTCAATCAACATTTTTTGGTGGCCAATTTTTTTTAACTCGACTCGCAAATGGAAATTGAGGAAATATCATATCGGATGTTACAATATGGATATGCTACTACCACATGGGTTCATTATGCCATGTTTAACAATATCATCATAAGAAAAATGGCATAAAACTACAGACAAGAATGACAATAACGAATAAAACTAAGGGATAGCGGGGCGGGTGGGTGAGGTGCGTTTATCAGTAACATAGATATAGACTCCACCGTATAGACAAGCGTGGTTTAAATACTAAATTAAGGAAGTAAACAAACTCACCTCTGTTCGGATAATAATCTGGACATAAATGGGTCTCCTAACTGACAGATCTTTATCCAACCACAACAACTTTACGTAGCCTATATGGGATGTAAAAAATAAATTTGTTGACGTCTTCTGTACAGTCTATTTTTCAAAGCAAACACTGCAAATATCAGGTCACAAATGCATTGCAGTAAATGAGGGACATTTTGCATTCGGTAATCCTATTTCACATGAAAATCGCAACAATGTTACATTTTTAAACACACTTTTTAGGGTACACGTACATTCTGTCGGCATGCTGTGCACCGTATCAATCAGGGTGGCAGCATCTCATCGCATTTACAATTTTGTTTTAAAAATGATTTTGTGGTTATAAAATGTTCTGTTTACTCGGATGGAAGCTTATTCTTTGATTTATAGTTTGTAAAACAATACAATCTATTTTTACCAGTTCCGCTTTGTTTGGGACTATATTTTATGCACAACAAATGAAAGGTACACCGTCTGTCAGAATGAACGAAATTATTCGTTCTTCTATCTAAATAATTTCTACTGAAATATAAACTAAGAATAAAAGAATCTCAAATGGGTAACGATTTAATATTCAATTTATGAAATTCGTTGAATAATGCCCATGAGAAATTGGGCATGACGCAATAGATCAAAGATTTTGCAATATTAATACACAAAATACCATGTACAAATAGGGTCTGTACTTTTGATTTGTAACTTCTATTGAAAACTTTTAAATATAAATATGATAAATATTTATATTCACGTTGCCTTCAGAAGACCGCCTAGAGAGGGAATATATACATAAAAGAATAACCAAATATACTATCACTCACCATTACATTCGAATATGAACATAACATAAATAACAGATATGCATATGATGTAGAAAACAGGTGGTATAATCAAAAACTAGGGAACTGACTTCTTTCATCCATCCAGGTACTTTAGCTCACTTCTCGCCTTGAATATCTAGGATTTATGTCCACATTGGATACATCTATCTCATATTATTAGTTTTCATGCATATATCTTGTAGTTTAGCTGAGAGTTTCCTTTTGCCGGCTTAAATTGTGAAATGATGGTATTGGATTTTATTTGTGTGTGATAGTTTATGTTCAGAAAGTTGTATTATCTATTTTCTCACTTTATGTAGATAGAGAAATTCTTCTTATTGCTGGTCTGAAAGTATTATTATAAGTTGCATCATTGTACAATAATGCAAGAAAAATGTATACACGAAACATTTTCATATATTTATTCTCGCTTTTTGTTGCTGAGTGTGCTAGACAATGAAAGAGACGAATAATGAGGAGCAAAATAATTGCAAACGTCCCTGGGTGGGCTCGAACCACCAACCTTTCGGTTAACAGCCGAACGCGCTAACCGATTGCGCCACAGAGACTTGCTTACGTTTTTCGTTTGGTCAATACTTGTTCGGTAGTAGGTTTGAAATAATCAGCTTCGTCAGGAATAGGTAAAGTCGAATCGTCTTGGAATGTTTCAAGGTGCAACTTGAGAAAGTGCAAGGATAAGAAAAGCCTTGAGCCAGCAAGAACGATTTCGCTGCAGAGCAGTTTAAATATGATTTATGTTCACGTTGGCCATATCTATCTTAAACGATTCCCTCTTATGCAAATGACTTGTATATTGTCCCGAGGGTATCCTTTTAACGGCTTTAATTGCGCAATGTTCATATTCGAATGTAATCAGACTGTACGCTATTCTTTCCATGATACCTCAAATTAGCGCGCGCACACACACACACACACACACACACACACACACACACACACACACATTACAACTCATTTATATGTATATGCAATCACAATAATCTCAAAAAAGTAAATGTAACAAACTAAAAGAAAAACACTCTTCAAGGAATAAAACTTGAAAAGTCATGAAGCGATCACCAAACACGTGTTCCTTCTGATTTTGCAACCGAAAGTCATACATTTATACACGCTAACCGTTTACACCACAGAGACTTAAATACCATTCTATCGTGGTCAATAATTGTGCTCCTCTATAGTCTATTTGACCGGTTTAATCAGGACAAGGTAATGGCGAGACTTCGTTAATAGTATCTCAATGGAGTTGTGAGAATGTGATAATATGACATAAATTGGTTCTATAAGCAATCTAGATTTCACTCCAGAGGGCCAGACAATTGTTAGTGAAGTGCATGATGAAATAAATGACATAAACAACGAGCACTTTCTTGAGTTTACAAATTTCACTGGACCAAAGTATAAACCATGTAAATAACAGATTTACAGATCATATAGAAAACTTGTGTTATAATTAAAAACGAGGATACCATTTTTTTCAGCCATCTAGGTACTTTGGATAACTTCTCTCCTCGAATAACTAAGACTTATGTCCACATTGGATATCTATCTCAAATTTTCCGTTTTGATTCATATGTATTGTATGTTTTGGTTGAGTGTGATTTCACGAGTCAAATTGCTTAATAATTGGTTGGTTGGCTTCCGTCGAGAGACGATGGAAATGCTCCCATGAAAGGTGTCCCAGTTTGTAGTTGTGCAGCGTCTTCTGTGACTATAAAGCCCCACACGGGAATGGCAATCCTTGCTACAGTTGCTACACTTAAAGTTTGAGTCAGGTCTTGGTTGGAACTGCATCCTCTTCCTCTGAGATCTTTAATCATCGGCGAACTATCGTAACTTTTACTCGCTGGCTTTCAGACCTGTGAACAGAGCATGTCGCCAGCTGGACTTGTCGAGGGCAAGCTCTTCCCAGGTGTTGACCTCGATCCCAAGAGCTTTCATATCCTGCTTGCAGACATCCTTGAAGCGAAGATGTGGCCGTCCGATTGATCTTCTGCCTGAGGCAAGCTTAGAGTAGAGAAAGTCTTTATGGATCCGTCCATCATCCATTCGACGCACATGGCCCAGCCATCTGATGCGATGTTGGCGGAGGAGTTTAACCATGCTTGGAATTTTGGCCTGTTGAAGCACCTCGTCGTTTGTCACACGATCGCTCCAGGTGATTCCGAGTATGTGACGGAGACAACGCATGTGAAAGGCACTCAGTCGTTTCTCCTGAGAGGCGTACAGGGTCTAAGTTTCGATGGCGTACAGGAGATTGCTAAGCACGCAGGCACGGTACACGGAGATCTTAGTGTTCAATGTCAGCTTGCTGTTGTTCCACACTCTCTGCGACAATCTAGGGAGAGTTGTTGACGCCTTTCCAATCCGCTTATTGAGCTCGAC